TTTATAAAGTATATCCAGGATCTCGAGGAAAAATAACGTATATGTCCCAGGAACACAGAGTTATGTTACATAAAAATCAGTTTTAGCAATAAATTGAATAAAATTAAAAATAATCTGAAAAATGAAATGACCAAATGTTAAGTATTTGTTTGTACCAGTAAGATAGCAAGAAATTAAAGAATTGTTAAAATGCCTCAACCTAGGAAAATAAAGTTTTACAAACTAAATTATAAAAAGTCTGGAGGTGAGGGCAGGATCAATATAGTAACCATAATGATATACTAGAAAAGTTAACAAAAGTGTGTGTGTGTGTGTGTGTGTGTGTGTATACATATACATATACATATATGCATATACTATATATATATATATATACACACACACACACACACACACACATATCTACATATATAAATACTGAGATCTTTGGATATAGTACTCCTAGAAAATGATGGTGAGAAAATTTTTTTATTTTTTTGAGATGGAGTTTCGCTCTTGTTACCAAGGCTGGAGTGCAATGGCGCGATCTCGGCTTACCGTAATCTCCGCCTCCTGGGTTCAGGCAATTCTCCTGCCTCAGTCTCCTGAGTAGCTGGGATTACAGGCACGTGCCACCATGCCCAGCTAATTTTTTGTATTTTTGGTAGAGACGGGGTTTCACCATGTTGACAAGGATGGTCTCGATCTCTTGACCTCATGATCCACCACCTCGGCCTCCCAAAGTGCTGGGATTATAGGAGTGAGCCACCACACCCGGTGAGAAAATATTTTTTTAAGTTCAAAGATGTTAATGATATAATAAGAGTCATCAAATATCACACAAGCAAATCAGAATTTTGCCGCTATGGTGTAAGCCCATTATTCATACGAATTGAAGGTGTCATTGAACAGAATCCAAAACCTGAACCCTTGAGTTAGTAAGAGGTTTAGGGAAGAGAAAAAAAACTACCAAAATTTGAAGTAGCAGGAAATGTTCAACTTCAAGGTTTATCAAAATGTAATGCTACTTTCCCTAGCAAAGGGGCTTGGCTTACTTCTTTTTCTACTGTTTCTAAAATAACCTCTAGGTCTCTAGGTGTTCTTATTTTAAAAAACATACAAACAAATGGATTGTAAACCTGGGAGGCTAACAATTAACTCTAAATTCTCTTACTTTTCCCTTCCTCAAATATTACAACCACCTAAACAAAACTCATCAAAAATGCCAAATGACCCACTAAACAAACACACACAAAAAAACTAACAAAAAGATTCAAGAGATAGAGAAGAAAGGCACAATATTATTTTTATTTGAATAACATAAATATTTCTTATTTAAAGGCATCCAGTAACATTTCTTCATCAACAGGAAGTGTATTTCTAGGAATGAGCCCATTTTAACAAAACTCCCTTACAAACTGGATGTCCCAAGGAGTCAGCAGTGAAGACTTTTACCTACATTTAACATTACCCAGGAACTGTTCCAACTTAGTTTTTATTTTAAAAACCTGTAACATTGTTTTCTATGATTTTCATCCCTGGATATACTACTTGCTTAGGGTAGTTGAATGTTATGTGTGCATCATATGGCAGTAGAAAATGATTTCATGTATTTATTGTATCGATACTTAATCTCTGGAATAAATATTGACTGAAATTTACTGAAAGCAAACTGCTGAAATATGAGCTTAACGACGTATGAAGAAGCATAAAACTCTGCAGAATTAGAGTTTGGGTAATTTTACAACAAAATTAACTACCTGTATAGAAATCAGAATACAAATTGTTTAAGAATATACACTCTGTAGTAAAATCAAAGAAACTAAACCTAGTCATAGGACCGTATCACGAAACAATTTCACCAGAGGTTCAAAGTTCAACTTACTACTGGGAACAGACAAAGTTCAAACTAAAATGACCACTTTTCCCTTTGCGGAAAAATAAACAACAGGGTCATAATTAAGAAACAGGTAACTAAATGGGCCACGCAATAGGTGAAACTAAAGATTCTCCTAGATGCAGGCAAGGTACTGACTGCTAAGTACTACACTAATACTAACACAGTAAGAAATTACCTAATTTATTCAGGAAAAGCTTCAGATTATAAACCACATTTTAAAGAGTAACTTTCAATTCTCTATTAAAGATTATAACAAAGAAAGAAGAAAAAATAAAAGCTAAAGACAGCTGCAGGAAAGATGTTAAGTCACCTGGCTGATGGTACCGGCTTTGGGAGGGCTCCCCTTCGCACCTACTAAGTGAAAAGAAGGCTAGGACGAATCAGTGCTACAAAAGCCATGTCCTAGAACCCAGCTCACCCTTCTGCCATGGATTTTGTCAGAAGAGAATATGAGATAATTTCCAATTAGTAAGATGTAAATCTTACAAAAATGGCTAAATTTTACTCTTTTACTGTGCTAGTCTCTAAATGTCATATTATGAATATGGTTTAATAAAAAGCAACTAGTCAAGACAAGAGAGGGCTAAGGACACTTTACAATACCTTATTAAATTGAAAAATCCATTTCTGTCACAAAGTTTAGATAAAAGAGAAAAGAAAACAATGTTTACAGCAAGTTTCTTTTTAAATTCCCTTACTCTACTTTCATCCTTTCCAAAATAAATCATGAAAATAAACAATCTGGGTCTCTTCTGAAGATAATATTTGTTTTTAATCAAACTCAAAGTTCTACAGATAACCTCTTCAAGTTCTTAATTTCTAGTATTTAAGGTCTCGTGTTTAACCTGCAAAAATCTTGCTATTTTATAACAAATGATGATTTTAAGCAAAGCCATTTAAGAAAGCCATTTAATACAATACCTAACATGAGGCTATCAAGAAGCTAAGAATACTATTTTTAAAAGAGATTAAAAATGTTAAATTACAACCTCCTCAGAAACAATATTAATCTCAGATGACACAGACATAATGGTATCTTGAGAAATTACTGACACCAAGTGTCTCTTTAAAATATAAGTGTAGTATTCAGAACTTTATTACTAATGACTACAGAATGTTCCACAGTCATTAATATGTTATTCCCTTTATTTTGGCTAACCAAAATAGTGTCTGTGGCTATCAGGAGGGCAAAACTGTATTGCTATACAAATGTCAACTACAAACTGGGGCATAGGATGTTTATTCAATACAGTTAATATTATTAATACTCTAAACCTTGAATTATTGTTAAATATAAAGGTTGAGAAAATGTATAACAGGAAGATTAGACTAATGTTATGAAGACTGAAATCTCTTCAGTCTTCTTTAAAAAAAAACCCACAGGCAATAATTTAAAATACACCAGCTTGTCAATGTATCAACTTTAAAACTATTTCTAAAAATAAGATATATTCTCATCTATGCCCCCAACTAATCAAAACAAAACACAAAGCAATGATGCAGATGTTCTCTTTATTCACTGACTCATGGGATTTGAAGTAAGATTTGGCACCTAGACTAGCAAATGCTGTCTATATTGTCTTTTGCATATTACAGTGCCTGACTGGCCGAGTTACAGCCCCAAAAGCCTTTCCTTTACCTTTCACACATGGCTGTCAAAGTTAGAGTCAGGAAAAAAATTTTTTCAAATTCTCAAAACTATACAGAAAAAGCTGTTTAAAGTCTGCCAAAGTTGTAAAAAATTAACAACAATAAAAAGAAAATCTCACCACATAAACCCACACGCTTAAAATGAATATGATGGAATAGCCTATAGAAAGAAAATCTTAATTAAGATCTTAGGAGCATGTAAGTGTGTGTGTGTTGTGTGTGTGTGTGTGTGTGTGTGTACCCACAATACACACACATATGGAAACTGCATCACAAACCATCAATCTCCATTAAGCTCAAGGACTATTAAAAGAGATACTAGTATTTATAAAGGGAGTTGCTAAGAAAGAAAAGAAATGAGGAGATAACATATTAAATTTTTCTCCAGAATTTTCTAGCATTTTGCCATCAAGGGATGGACTGCTATCTAGCCCAGGTAACAATTAAGCAACCCATTATATTTTGATGCACCGTATACTCAGTAGAGCACATTCAGGAAAAACAGTTTGGTTTCTAATAATGTTACAATCACAGTTCTCTCTCCCACAAACATCTAAGATGACAGAACCACATTCTACCTCGGCTGAAACAAAACCAACAATGCTGTCAATAACAAATTCGTAAGAACTACTACATGCTATCAGATCTCACTGTACGCTGTCTCTGATCAATGCTTTGAAACTGAAGAGTATGCCATAAACGTAAGGTGCTTTGCAGCGGATTTTACTAGCATAAAAGACACCCGGGAAAGAGGCTCCTTTAATCTACCACTTCAACAAAATTCTGTAAAATCAAAAGCGTTACAGAAGCTTTCACTCCGATAGGCATCTAGGTCTTCCTTCAAAACCCAGACTCTATTCAACAGCTCCCTGCAAGAACACACCAGTCTGCTACATATCACATATTGTATTCTCATCGGTTCTCAGACACCTGAACCACCGGGACTGACAGAGTTAGGCTGTCAGCTCCGAGATGTCTGCTAGCGTGCAAGAAACACTGAAGCAGCTAAGCCCTTTCAGGTACACTAGGTGGTAATCTTGACACCATGTGCCTCGATAGTAAAGACCCTTTTCCCTGTTAGAAGATGCGTAAGATCGTTCCAAACAAAATGCTACAATCCTAAGCATCTTCTTGCACAAAAGAGAGCCGAAAAGGCTTGCTTTCTCTAATCAAAAACTCTTGCCTGCGGTGGGAGATGAAGCTACAGATTTAGGAAACCCAGCTTCTAGTCGCAGTTCTGTGACAGCCAGCACTGCTAACAGAGCAACCCCGCCGAGCCGGAGCTCAGTTTTCCCATCGACAAAATGGGACTCACCGTCGTCACCCTCCTCCCTCGTGCGGGAGTCAGGTACACTCCGGAGGTCTAAGATTACCCGGGACAATACGCGGTGGGGAGGTGCCGCAGCTCCCAGGACGCCCACCCTGGAGCCCACCCCGCAACACCCCGCGCAGACACGCAGGGCCAGCGTACCTGGTTTCACAGTCTTGAGACGAATGGGCTCGCGGAAGTGGCGGATGACAGCCAGGGTGTCCCGGTTGGTGAGCCCGCTGACAGGCGTCCCGTTCACCTCCAGCAGCACATCCCCTGGGCTGGGCGCCTTGCCCGAGACGACGCAGCAGGTGCCCCCGCCGGGATCCTCGCGGAGCCGCCCCAGGTAGGGGAACTCGCCACGCTCCGCGCCACCGCGGATCTCCGCGCCGAATTCGCCCGGGGGCCCGGCCCAGGACACCGCGCACTCCTGCACCTTGCTGAGCCAGTGCTTCTTCTTCTTCAGCGTCTTCGACATCCCGAACCCCGCTGCACCATGGGGGAGACCCCGCGCGGGCGGCCGGGGCGGCGCTCCGGCCCCGTCTCAGCCCGGGGGCCCTGGGCGGCCCGCACAGCCCGGTCAGGGGGGCCTCGCCGCTCTGGCCCCCCCTCCCCGCGACCACAGCCCGCTGGGGGCCCGGCCGCTCCCAGCCCCGAGACGCCCCTTGGACGCCCCTCTCGGCTGCGCTGCCCGGGGCTGACCGGACTCCGCGAGGGCCACCGCGCGTTAGGCTGAAGAAAGGAAAAGAGAATTGTCCCCAGGCGGTTCCAGAAGGGGCTTCGGGCGGGGTCACTGCCGCCGGCTGGCCCCCAGGCTCAGCGCCCGAGCGGCGGGAAAGGCTGAGGCGGGGGGGCGGTGAGGTAAAGGGGGAAGAGCCGGGAACGGGAAAAATCCGTCGGCGGCGCGCATAAGCGCGCGTAGACACGTCGCGGGATCGACCGTGGCCGCTGCGGAGCTGTAGCGCGAAGACCAACGCCTGCCCAAGCTGCCAGGAAACTGCCGCTTTCAAACCCGCCGCAACCTCCTCCTCCTCCCTTTTCCCTTCCCCCCCGCCCTCGCCCATCCCTCATCCAGAGCCCCGCCCCCTCCCGCCGCGCGGCGCCCGGCGCGCTGCCGTCACAGGCCGGGCACTGGGGAACGAGCCCCGGCACTGGACTCTCGCGCTGGGGATTGGCCCCCGTCCGGCAGGGGGCGGACCGCCAACGAGAATGAGGACCACTGGTTGGTCGGTGAGAGTGAAGGAGGCGGGCACTAGAATGACTGAAGTTTAGAAAGGGTGGAAAAAAGAAGTTTGGAGAGTGAGGGAGGGCGCAGAGGAGGGGCAGGAGAGTGGAACGGGCTGCGGGTCGCAGGGCCGGGAGAGGCCCTCTGCGTGGCGGCTGGAGCCAAGGAAAACTCCAATCCGAGAGTGACCGAACTCCCTGAAGTGGGGGCGTGGCCGGCGATTTAGGCGGAGACACGGGCGGAGCCTCCTAGCCTGTGCGGAGCGCGGAGAGGGGCGGGTCTGCTTAGATTGGAAGACAGCGTGCGGAGTCCTGAGCCGGCAGAGGTTGCGGGGCCTGTAGGGTGGTCTGTTACGGCCTGTTACAGCCGATAGCTTGCATTGAGTGGACGTTTCTTGTTCATTCGTTCATTGAACAAATGATACTGAAAGCCCATGGAGGCAGGGCTTTTGGAGTCCGGTTGATGAAAGATATTATAGAGTCCTGCACTTAACTACTTGCTGTGTGACCGCAGGCGATGTAGACAACCTCTCTGAGCCGCAGCATCCGTAATGAAAAGTGAATAATTATACCTATCCATGCAAGTGTTGAAGATTACGGAAGATACATACAAAATAACTGCATAGTGCCTGACAGTAGGTGGATTCCTCTGAAAGTTTGGTAGCTGCTGCTGCTGATGATGACGATGATGATTTTGTGTTAGACAGAGATTGTGCTAGGTACTGGGATTCAAGGGTGAAGAAAACAGAAGCCCTGCTCTTGAGGTGGTTACAGGCAGTGAGAGAGACCCAGAAGGAAGCAGACTGACTGAGGTGGGGGGGTGGGGTGGAGGTAGAAGGTGAATTACTAAGAACTAGCCTGGTAGCCGGCAGACCTGGTTGGAGTCCTGACATGCTACTTACTTGCTGTTTGACCTTGGCCAAATCTCAGTTAAAGGAGTTGAAGGGAGAATGAACATCAAATAAAAGATACCGTAGATCCCTTCCAGCTCTAATTTTTCGAAACTTCACATGAGCTTTCTCTCCTCCCCTGCTTTACTTAGACACTTATCGCTGTCTTTGGAATGCCCTTCATCCCATCTCTTTTAAAACTCCTATCCGTGCTCATCGCAAATGCCAGCTCTTCAGGTAGCGTTCTCTGATTTCTTGCCCTCAAGTGGAAAGTGTTTTCTTTGAGCTATGATCTTTGTTTTACTTTTGTAGCATGACATTTATTTGTGTGGTCTCTTGTCTCCCTTTAATAGTAGATGAAAGCCCTTATTTAAACGAGGAATAACTCCACAGAATCTCACCACACCTCAGACAGACTGGACCAAGCTTCAACAGCTGCAGTGATTTCGTTGTCATTGTATCAGTCAGGGTCCTGACAGGAAACAAATGGCATTTTGCAAAGATGTGGGCAGGGTGTGGGAAACCACAAGAGAAGTGTGGAACCCTGGGGCTAACAGCTCCTAGATCTGTCCAATCAGGGAAAGAGCAGATACCGAAAAACCCAGACCCAGAGGGCCACCTGACAGGAGCCTGTGACCTTCAGTCAATGGATGCAGTCAGCCTAAGTAATCACCCATCGAAGGAGCTGGGAGGTTTATGTCTAATTCGCCATCCCCCTCCAGTCTCCTGCTGGTACATGCCAATGGCCAAGTCCAACCAGCAGCCAGAGGGCAAGGGAGCCTTTTGATATAGTTATTATCAGTCAGCTATATCAGAAGAGGAAATAGTGCATCTGAGGGGAGAATATTCGGCACAGACACCATGTGGGTGGCTCAGATTTACCCATATCTGAGACAAAACTTGGAGTATTTTTTTTCTGAACTACTACCTATACCAATGGATTCCTGGATAAAATCTTCATAACCTACACATCATCTGTTTTTGCTGAAACTCTGGGAAAACATCTTTCTCTGTCTAGATTGTATCTGTTAGAATGTATTTGGCCTCAAGGAACAGAATATCTGACAGCAGCTGAAAGCATGAGGTCATGTAATATGTCTTTAATATCGATGTAAGTGCAGGTAGTTTCAAGGTTAGTTGAGCAGCACAATCATGTCATCAAGGACCCAAGCTCTTTTTTGTGTTTGCCGTCATCATATGCATGTTGGCGTTTGTCTCCAGGTTTGTCACCTCCTAATTGCAGTGTGGCTGCCATAGCTCCAGGTATCACATCCTCAGAGGTCACTGCACAAAGCAGGAAGGGAAGAAAAGGTAATGCTGTCCTTCATTTTTATGAAGGAAAGAAATATTTCCCAGACTTCAGATTCTTCCTGATCATCCAGAAAGTGGTCACATGCCACATCAGACCAGTCACTGGCAAAACAAGATAGAATTTGCCACAGTTGATTAAATTGATCACAAGTCACCCCTAAACAAAATAAATGTTCTGATTAAGAGGAGAAAAGAGGAAATAGTTAAGTAAACATCCAGCAGTGTTTGCCACATGTCTCAGCCATGAATAAGGTATATTCTTTCTTGGGCAGAAAACTGCAGTGATTGAGAGCGGTGGCTGAGCTTTTCTGTCAGACTGCAAATCCCAGCTTTTCTACTCACCAGCTCCCTGAGGTTGAGCAAGCTATTTAACCTTGCCTAACCTCAATCTCCTCATCCGCAAAGTGGGTTCCATGACAGTGAGAACTGTATGAAGCTGTTTGAGTCAAATAATTTGAGTCGAGCTCTTTGATAACATAGGGTGCAGCATTGAGCAAACACTAAATTTTTATTTTAGTTTATGCTAAATTGTACTATCTGTGACAAAGCTAAAAACATTGTATTAAATTCACCTGTCTTAGTAAGCTTTGGTTTAGTTTTTTAAATATTCTACAAACAAGCTTACCATGCTATTGAATTAATTCTGGTAGATTACTATTTTGGCAATTATTACATAGTTAAAGGGGTCATATTATAAGCCTCTGTCTCTAAAACGGCACCTAACTTTTAGGCACCTAATTAATCATATTCTATTCATGCTTATCACTACTTTCCAAACCTAATGGTTGGTTTCATAGTTGTGATTTCCATTGGGGAATATTAATAAGCCAAACAACATGGAACAAAAATAGTAACAAAAATAAATGAGGCAATTGAATTTGAAGATTTCCACGTTTCTTGGGGCTATCTCTATCTAATCTATAGAGATAGAGATTGCTATGTGAGTTAGGCCATTTTTTTGTCCCTATAAAGAAATACCTGAGGCTGGGTAATGTAAAGAAAAGAGGTTTAGTTGAGCACAGTTCTGCAGGCTGTACGAGCATGGTGCTGGTATCTTCTTGGCTTACTGGGGAGGCCTCGGGTGGAATTTACTTATGGCAAAAGGCAAAGCAGTGGCAGGCACATCACATGGTGAAGGTAGGAGCAAGAGAGGGTGGAGGTGCCACATACTTTTAAACAACCAGGTCTGGTGTGAACTCACTCATTGCCAAGAAGACTGTGCTAAGCCATTCATGAGGGATTCATCCTGTCCAAGCCCCTCCCACCAGGCCCCACCTCCAACACTGGGGATCACATTTCTTTTTTTTTTTTTAATTGCATTTTAGCTTTTGAGATACATGTGCAGAACATGCAAGATAGTTGCATAGGTACACATGTGGCAGTGTGATTTGCTGTCTTCCTCCCCTTCGCCCACATCTGGCATTTCTCCCCATGCTATCCCTCCCCAGCTCACTCCCCCGCTGTCCCTCCCCTATTCCCCCCAATAGACCCCAGTGTGTAGTGCTCCCCTCCCTGTGTCCATGTGTTCTCATTGTTCATCACCCACCTATGAGTGAGAATATGCGGTATTTCATTTTCTGTTCTTGTGTCAGTTTGCTGAGAATGATGTTCTCCAGATTCATCCATGTCCCTACAAAGGACATAAACTCATTGTTTTTGATGGCTCCATAATATTCCATGGTGTATATGTGCCACATTTTTCCAGTCCAGTCTATCATCGATGGGCATTTGGGTTGGTTCCAGGTCTTTGCTATTGTAAACAGTGCTGCAATGAACATTCGTGTGTCCTTATAGTAGAACAATTAATAGTCCTTTGGATATATACCCAGTAATGGGATTGCTGGGTCAATTGGAATTTCTATTTGTAGGTCCTTGAGGAATCGCCACACTGTCTTCCACAATGGTTGAACTAATTTACACTCCCACCAGCAGTGTAAAAGTGTTCCTATTTCTCCACATCCTCTCCAGCATCTGTTGTCTCCAGATTTTTTAATGATCGCCATTCTAACTGGCATGAGATGGTATCTCAATGTAGTTTTGATTTGCATTTCTC